CACACACACACACACACACACACACACACACATAGAGACAGCCTCTCGACAATATGCGTTTTTTTTTGCTGGCTGTAGCAGCGCTATAGCGCTATAGCGCTTCACAGCAAAAACGCATAATAAAAAGGAATGCATGATATTCAACAAATGGAGTGTTGAAATTTTCTGGGTATGGTCTGAGCAGTGTCTGAACAGGGTGCATGTAAAAAAACAGCATTCACTTTTCCCTCACACGTGAAATTTGATGTAGTTCCGCAGCCAAAATAGACGGAGTGCTGGGATTTTCTGAGCATGGCCTTCAACTGTGCTTATTAAGAAACATTGTGATAGATGTGGCAATGTGATGGTTACTCTCAATTCGTTTAACTACGTACCGGCAGAAATAGTGCCGCTTGACGACAAATGTCTGGGGGAAAATCGTACAAAAAATGCATGTTTGCGGTTGCAGAGCTGGTTTTCTGCAACCAAAATTTGATTTCTGCTTAAATTTGCTCAGAAAGATGCGAAGGATACTAAAGGGGATCACTGGTTTTTCCACGACGTTGGTCCGGACTTGATCGAAGAAAAGCGCTTACCAGTCCTTCGCCGATAAATAAACCGCACGACAGCAACGAGAAGACCTAAAGACGACCAAATGACATAGTATGTTGAAAGATTTGAAGCTTTATGCCGGACATGCTGCATATTTAATTGCCATTCGTTCAGTCAATTGCAGTTCATACAGTGTCTTTCTGATTATGGAAAGAGCAATGTTTTCACCCACTTTAACAAATGCTATTTCGCCTGGCAGTCAGCCTTTCTGCAGTTCTGATGCTCATCGAAGGTAATCTGTAAAAATACTTTTGCAAAAACAATACCTGGATTCGGTTCCGTGTCCCCCAAGCCAGAATGCAATGCGCAGTGCACACAAGTAAAAATTGCTGTTGTTCATTTTCGATTTCAAAGGGAAAAATAAACAAACCCCCGCAAGTGTCCAGCCGCTGATGCCGCACTGTGTCTCGAAATATGGCTCCACCGAACTGTAACCTCTGCGCAAAATTTCCACTCTATAGAAGTCATCGATCCATGGACATGTGCTGTAGTGCATTTCTAGGCCAAAGATGAACATTGAAAATGGCACTGACCCAAACGAATAACACATACACTGAAACACATTTGGAATAGGCTTTGCTTACTAAAACTAACAATGCTTTATAAATTTACGTCGGGTCTGTTACATGCGTCTTCATGCTTAAATGAAGGAAGTACAAAGCGAGTTAAAAGCATTGCCAGAAAAGTTTTTTGCTAACGGCATGGCAAGACTGTAAAATTTCAACAAGCGCGCTTGAGCGGCTGTATATCGTCGGTCTTCGTTGTTGCGCCATCGATGTAGCTAGCATGTTCTTCATTCAACTCGTTGTTGCGCTCTCCGAGACCAAGTAACATCGTACAGGCGTAGCTATCAGGTCTTCCACCCTGTTGAAGGCATCCCTAGCGTTCGCTTAACCGTGTGTGGGTATCTTCCAATTATTCGCTTCGGCCATCTGTTGCCTGCCACCCGTGCCTCGTCTTGCTGGCGTACATTGCTTCGAAGACATCCTTCACGCCAGATCTGGCTTGATGCACTTCGTTAGGAATGTGCTACAGTCTGCTGACCCCAACCATCCATCACTCTGTTGTTCGTTGAGAAACTGATAATTTCTGTTCTCCAGCTAGTGTGGTATTCTGCGTCTCATATCAGAATAAGATAGCTGGTAAAACGGTCGAATTGAAAATTGCTACTTTTGTAGGTAAAGTGGTCTATCATAGAATACATCACGGAGCTTGACGAAAGCTATCCACCTTGCTCGTATCCTTCCCGTTATTTTAGCCCCCAGTTCAGTATTTCAGTAAGAAGTAACCCAAACTCATCTTCTCTGCTTCCTTCCTTCCGCAATACTGATTCCCATAGAACGTCCGAAAATCAAACAATTGCTGCTATCGCATTTCGTTTGCACTACACATTGCATAATTTCATGCAGCTACGATAACTCAGAAAACAGAGCATAAAGCCCAGTTCGGTCGGATATGGAGAGAAATTGTAAACCCAGGCTAGAACGCATCTGGAGAGCTGGTACGATCACGCGTTTTTGCACTATTTCGTGCTGTAGCAAGATTGTAAGAAATCACAGTAGCTAGAATCTGTTCTTCACCCACGAAGTTCAGAAAGCTAACTGTGCAGCAACGTGGCATGTCAACTGTAGATGTCGGCTTCAGTGATCCGAGAAATGGAATATTTTTGATGCGCGAAAAGGACCCCACTAAAAAAACTGAATTTGAAATCTTTTAATCGCACGTGAGTGAAGAACATTCCATAAAAATCCACGCTTTTCTGGCAGGAGAACAATTTTGGGAATCATGTAGGTTAAAAGGTCGGAAATTCATGGGGATTTTTCTTAATGTTTGACCACAGGAATTTAAATTTAGCTCTTATATACATCTAGATGTTGCGCATGTGCATGTCAAAGTTCAAACTGGCATCATACCAACGCGGGCATTAAGCTAATTGGAAGACTGTTGGGAGTTGCACTTTTACGATGTTGTTTGCTCTCCACTTATGTGTTCATTAAAGTAAATTGAGTTTCTGCGCCCTCCACCCCACATCCTACGTACTGGTACGTAAAATATGATTCAGACAGTTTTGTATTTTGGAACTGAAGCAGCTACAGCGCTGAAAATTCTGTTCATGATCGATGACAGTGTTTGGGCAGGAAAAGCGACATTCATGTCTCCCCACGTACAACCCCGTGAAATTTGATGTAACTCTGCAACTAAAGCAGCTACAGTGCTAACATTTTGCACGTAAAAGCAACTTTACGTTTCTCTAACTTACGAATCCATGAAATGGAGCCCGAGCGTAATTAGGCATGATCCACAACCATGCTTAGATAGGCACACTTAAAGACAGCTTCACTTTTTCTCTACATTTCACGTACGAAATACGCAAGAACTGATGAAGACAGTTTTGTAACTTCACAACCTGAGCAGCTAGACTGCTGAAATTTTCTACGCATGCCCCACGATCGTATTTATTGGGAATTCTTGTGATAAACTGTGCAAATGTGGATGTCCATTCTCGATTTGTTAGCTGGAAGCACCTGCTACCTAGCGGAAGTACCTGCTTAACAATACTACTTAGCGGCAAACATCTGCGAAAAAAACTGTGCGGACAATGCATGTTCGCACCGGTAAACCTGGTGCGTCGCTACCTAGGTTTATTTTTTGTTTGCTTTCAGCTATTGTTATGAATACCAAGGCCACCCCAGAAAATGACTGAAGGATGTCCTATGTTACTGGTGTTACTGACATACTCTCAACGCCAAACACAGCTATGAAATTCTTTTTGATCCTGGGCTGTACATTCCAGTTAATACACACTGTCCTGAATGGTCTACTAATTCCTCCAGAACTCATTAATGAATGAAATCTAGGGGTCCTCGCCAAAGGCAGCAAAGCATCTTATCCACAGACTTTGTTTTCTCGTATGTTTAGAGTGACATACATCACCGCCCATTTTGCACAGCAAGAGTGTTTACATAGTCACGGAGAGATGCCAAACGTCCTTCGCTCCATCGTTCTTTCTGCCACACCAGCGTTCACTTTTTACATTCACAAGTCACCGTCTTCAGTACACTGTAGAGGTAGGTGCAGCCCTTTCGAATTTGCACTTTGAGGATGTCGATAATGCTATGAATTTGCATCAACCAGCAGGCCATCAACGTGCTATTTCTGGCTGGAAATTTTGGCGAATATTTCTGACCAAGATAGACGCAGCTGCCAGCTTCTTCCAGCTCAACACTTTTTCTGCAGCCTTATCGCCGACATACCAGCAGTTCCATTACTTTCATCTCCGACGCGTTATTTTTCGGGTTCACATTATTATTTCATGCGCTAAACTCGCGAGAGTTACTAGCAGTAAGAACAACTCTATTCGTGATGCATGGGTAGCCTAGCTCTCGCCACTGAACTCCAAATCACCTGCAGAGAACAATTTTCGAAATATCATCTCGAGGCAGGTTGTAAAACGTTTTAGTGAAATAGGATCGCGCTGCTCGATCGGGATTCCAATTGGAGAGGAGTGTTTTATCTGTAAAGCAGCCTAAATTTGTTTTCGGCAATTACTTTACAGAAAAACGGGCTTGGTGCTGTGTTGATCGGCTTTCTTATAACGGAAGTTTTTATCTAATAATAACGAAATTTGATCTAATAATACGAAGGATCTAATAATACTGCTTATCTGGCCTCCGTCAGCGCTGACCAAATTTCACCTCCCCTTCCCCCCACCCCCTCTCCCTCTGCCGAGAAAACAAGAATCCCGTTACAGCTAGTGGAAAAATCAAGGCTTCTTCTTGGGTGGCATTTGAAAACTTTGTCAGAAATCAATATGTTTTTAAAGTTATCCACAATGAAGTATAAATTTCGCCCAACATTTAACAAACAGAAGCCATGTGATGCTGTCTGTCTTCTCAAAGCATTCAGTTAAAACCTGTCATCTAGCAGCAAGATTACCGGCTTTCTCCATTTGGGGAAAACGCTTAGAAAACAAGCTGAGAGCAGTTTTAGTTAATAACACCAAAACGAATCTATGGATAACGACGGGATTAATTCGCTCAGCGGCACTGTTACACCAAACATTCTAGTGCGAAAATAATATCACATAGGCATAAAACTTCATACTTTCATATAGGCATAAAAATTTCAATTAGGAAAGAATCACCCACGATTGATGGGGGTATTTTGTGTGATGTATTACTGAGGACATATTGTCTAGGGACGCGATCAATCACTCATTTTGTTGAAAGTTGATAAATCACAAAGTGAAACTCGTGAAATTAAGAAGACCACATAAACAGCTGCTGAAGCAGTTTCATGTGTACATAGTGCAGAGGACTATAACTACGAATGGAGTCAACTTACTCAAGAAAGGCGAAAAGAGTGGCTCACGGATATTTTTGGGATG